GGGGACGCGCTGCCGATCGGGGCGCACCCCGAGGACGAGCACGACGCTCCCGCAGGAGGTGCCGGAGGGGGTCCGCCGCGCGAGCGCCCCGCGCCGCCGGCCGACCCTCCTCCCCGGGGCCCGACCCATGCTCCCCCCAACCCCTCCGACTCGAACTCTTCGTCCTGGATCGGGGGTTGGGGTCTTTTCGGCGTCAGTTGGAAAGACATCGGCAACCGCGCGCATTGGTTTGCCGAGGGGATGGGCGGGGGCACCTTCAGGGCTTTCGGCAGCTTCAGGTCCGCGTTTTCGACCCGTGAGGCAGGAGGCTGGCTGAGCTCGGACGGCGGCTGGGTGCTCTACATGGCCGACCAGATGGGCCTCTACCTGTTCGGCTCCGCGCGGCCGCTGGTCGCCGGGCTCGCGGCGATCCTCGCCAGCACCGGCGTGGTCGCACTCTTGGCCCACAGCCTGAGGACGCTCTTCGCTCCCTGCAGCTGGGCGGCATGGGCGCGCGGCCTGGCAGCGGCATGCTGCCCCTGCCCGCGACGCAAGACGCCTGGCGAAGCCAAGCTTGACAAGCTGGCCCAGCCGGCGGCCCCGCCTCTAACCGATGTGGCATGGCACGGCCCAGCCGTGGGTGCGGACCCAACCGCAGATTGGTACCGCAAGAGCGTCAAGGAGGGCAGGGGCTCCAAGCGTGGCCAGAACGACCTCCTGATCAGGGTCGATTATCGGGTTGCGCGGCTCAAGCTCAACATGAAGTCCCCGGAGCGCATCAACCGCCAAGGCCTCTGGGTCGAGTGCGACTCCGTGAAGGGCGCGAGCGACAAGGGCTTCCGACGCGAGCTCGAGCAGCGCGACCCACGCTGGCTCCACCTGTGCCGCTCGGCCAGCTGCACTTGGTGTAAGGGGCGCGAGAACGAGCTGCACTGTAAGGAGTACGCGGCCATCGACGACGAAGCCATCGTCGACCTCAGCGACTACTCGAAGTTCTCGCCGTGCCGGATCTTCGTCTGGCTCTGGCGGTTGGGCCTGACCTACAAGCTGCTGCTGTACGTCATCTCGTGGATTTCGTGCTGCGGGGCGCGCCTCTGCCGCCGGCGACGCCGCCGTCGCAGGACTGGCGACGCGGAGCCTGGTGTACAGGGGTCCGTGGCGAGGCTGCTTGACCAGGAGTCCGAGTCCGAGGTTTGGGTCTTTCCTTCGGGTCTTCCCGTGGGGTCTCTGGGAGATGGTTTTGATGGGTTTCAGCCGTGGGACCGTTCATCAGGGCGCGATGGCGCGCCCTCCGCGGGGAAAGATCGGCGGTGGTGTTTTGGTGGGCGCAGCGCCCCCCCCCGAAAATTCGTTGATGGGGTTCTGTTCGCGGAAAAATCGGTTTTTACTTAACAGCTTTTGCTGATAGGTTTCTAGTGGGGTCAAAAGAGAGCAGCAGAAATGATTCACTTGTTTATGTTTTTTTCTAGTTTTTTTTTTCTTTCCTTTGTCTTTATTCTCTTTTTTTTTTTCTTCTTTTCTGAACCTTCTATCCACAGGGGGGTCGGGGCGGCATCCGGGGAGCTGTGTCCGAACTCGTGTCCGAATGCGCTTTTCGCAAATAGTCACACACTTCGTGTTCGTCGACCTCCCAGAACTCCATTCCCGGGCCACATTCTGAATACTTGGAGCCAACTGTAGGCCACTTCGTGGTCTTCGAGTTCCCAGAACTCCATTCCCGGGCCACATTTTGAATGCCCGGAGCCAATAGTAGGCCACTTCGTGCTCTTCGACTTCCCAGAACTCCATTCCTGGGCCACATTTTGAATGCCCGGAGCCAACTGTAGGCCACTTCGTGGTCTTCGAGTTCCCAGAACTTTTCTGGGGCCACATTTTGAATGCCCGGAGCCAACTGTAGGCCACGTCGTGGTCTTCGATTTCCCAGAACTCCGTTCCCGGGCCACATTTTGAATGCCCGGAGCCACCTGTAGGCCACTTCGTGCTGTTCGAGTTCCCAGAACTCCATTCCCGGGCAATGTTGCGATGGCCGATTACGGCCGGTGCCGCCGACCTTGAAGGAGGGCGACGACGACTACGACGACGGCAGCGACGACGACGACGACGACGACGACGCTCGCGAGTCCTCGTGGAGGATCTCCTGGCACCTGGTCTCTTTTGTGGGGCCGTTTCAGTCGTCTATCGTCATTTTTGGGCCGTCTTGGGGATGGTGCTCGAGATCGGTGGCGCCCGCAGACCTCCGGACGACATGGACGCCCGCCGTCGACGACATTGAAAGTATTTTCGTTTATCGTGCCGACAAGTTTTGACGGTTCGACCGACGCGAGCATCCACCGATCGTCCGCTTCCGTTATCGTCCGTTGAGGAGTCGGGGTGGTCAGGTGGCCAACCAGTCAGAGGAAGAACATATACCAATACCGCTACCCTTCCGTCATCATAACGGCTGCGTTCGCCTCGAAATCTTGGTCAGAGCGCACCTCGGGAGAGGACCAGAGAGTAGTATCGCTACGTTGTGCCCTCTCAGCCAGGACGGGGTCTTCTTCAGCGAGCGGTGTCGCGGTTCCAGCAGGCCGCCGAGCAAGGTCCGCCAATTGCGGCAGTGGGTTGGTTTGGGAGCTTGTGTTGTCCCTCTAGAAGTTACCCTCGATGGCCCAAGCCTCACACGATCTACGATGTCGCTCGGCGGCGTCAACAAGGGTGGGACATGCGATGCCACTCCCGGCTCTCAGACATGGCAGCGTCCCTGTCCGTGGTCGGTTCGGCTCAAGACATCGCGGCCGAGCGGCTGAAGGCCCTGGCCGCGTCGCACCGCGAGGCCCGGCCGTGGCCCAGACCCGCGCGCGGCCTGGGCTTCGTTCTGGGGAGCTCTCCGCGATGCGCGCCCTCGCCCCGGCGCTGCTGCTGTGGGCCGCCGCCGTGCGCGCGGCGCCGCAGCGCAGCAGCCGGGCGGGCGGCGAGTGCGCCGGTGCCGAGTGCGCAGCGGACGTGGACGAGGATTCGTCGTACCTGCAGTCCCGCAAGGTGGTCGCCTCCTCCGCTGCGGGCCCGCCCAGGGAGATCGTCGCCACGGATCTCGTCGCCCTCCACGACCTCCTGATGCTCGGCTATTACGGCGTCCAAACGCTGGGGCCACATCTGCGCGATCAGGCGGAGGGCAGGCGCGAGTTCTGCAGAACGACGGATTCGTTCTACCAGTTCGAATGCGAAGCTATGGCGTTTAACTTCAGCAAGCCCGAGTCCAGTTTCCCGGGCCTCCTGCAGGCTCAGCGTGCTGCGATAGACCTAGCCAGGTTGCTCCCCGAGCTGCACCCCGTCGAGTCTTGCCGCGGCAGCTTCCATCAAAACATGGTCAAGTGTGACAGCGATGACGAGTGTGATGATGAGATGTTGGTTGAGATCCAGGCGGCCGAGGCATGGGCATGCATCAATATCACGGAAGACATGGTCTTGCCTACGTGCGCTGGCAGGGACGGATGCGGCCCGACGGATCCAGTTCCAATGTTGGGCGCTACGCGCAACTCCATCAGTCCATCTAGAAACGATACCCAGGCGAGTTGCCCTGATCAGGGATGCGCATGAGCATGCAGTGGAATAAGGTGTCAGGGGAAGCCGTCATACCCCAAGAGGGGGGGGGATGGAGGAGAAATCGGAGGAGGAATGGGAGGGAGAGGGCGGGGGACGGAGGAGGGACTAGGAGGAATAGGCGGATGAGGAAGAGGATGACGAGGAGGAGGAGGAGGAGGAGGAGGAGGAGGAGGGGGGAGGAGGAGGAGGAGGAGGAGGAGGAGGAGGAGGAGAGGAGGGCGAGCAGAGTGGCCAGAGGTCTCTTGGATGCCTCTCGGAGTCTCTTCGGATGTCCCTTGAAAGCTTCTGTGAGTTCTCTTGGGGCGTCTTGGGGGCCTCTTGGCGGTCATGAAGGTCTCCTAGAGCGTCATGGGTGCCTCGGAGGAGTCTCTTGGGGCATCTTGGGGGTCTCTGAAGAGCCTCCTGGGGACCTCTTGGAGGCCTCTTGGGGCCTCCTGGGCGCCTCCTGGGGCCCTATTAGGGCACTTTGGGAGTCTCGGGGGCCATGTTGGGGCCATCTCGGAGGAGATCAATCAAAGAAGGGGGCTCAATTAGGGTTACCCCCACGGAGGCCCGAATGGGCCCAAAACCTAAGTCAAATCAATGATGTGGGCCATCTCGCTGAGGCCATCTTGGACGCTCCAATGGGTCGCGGGACGCTCCGTTCAGGTCCAGGGGAGGGGGTGGGAGGAGGGGTCAAGACGCCCTCCCCGCCCGCAAGCCGTCTCGCTCACTCCCACCCGCCCTCCCAACACATACGTAGCACCCGAGCCTGGCCCGAGCCGCAGCATATGCAGCAGTCGTCTTTGAATGGCCAGTTACTGGGGGCCAATCCGCCGCCGCCGCCGCCTCCGCCGCCGCCGCCGCCCGCCGCCGCCGCCGACGCCGCGCCGCCGCAGCCGCCGTCACCGCTGTCCGCCGCTGCAGCCGCCGCACTGCCCGCCGCTGCCGCCGCCGCCGCCCCCGCTGCCAATTCGCCGCCGCCGCAGCCGCTGCCGCCGCAGTCGCTGGCCGCCACCGACTGCGCCGCCGCCGCCGCCTCCGCCGCCGCCGCCACCGCCGCCGCTCCCGCCGCCGCCGCCCGCCGCCGCCACCGTCGCAGCCGCCGCAGCCGCTGCCCCCGCCGCAGCCGGCGCAGCCGCCGCCTTCGCCGCCAAGTGTATTCTGCAGTGTTTTGTTTCCAGGGATGGTGGGGGGAGGCCGCATCGGATTCGCTGGTCATGCTCCGAATTTGGAGACAGAGTGTGTTTTGTATGGTTTGTTACAAAGGATGGTGGGGGCAGAGAGTGTGCTTGTCTTGTTTGTTACAAGGGATGGTGGGGGGGCCCTCATGGACCTGGGTTGGCTCCCAGTCGCCTGGGGGAGGGGATGTATATTAATAGGGAACAGTGATAAACCCTTCTCTGCAGGGGAAGAAGGGGTTGGAAGAGGAAACGCCCTCAACCACTCACGCCCGAAAGGCTGGTGGATTCCGCTCACCAGGTTTCGGGACGAAAATGGGTCGTTGATACAGAGTGCACTTGTCATGCCATATCGCAATTTTGTCCTCAAGGGGGCGCCACCTTTGGGGGCTTGCCAACAAGAGTGGACACCCGGAGATTGGCCTCATGGCAAGACGGTGTGGTTGCGAGCATGTTCTTTCTGGGCCTCGTTCCACACCATGGCGCTCCGCGCAGATGCCCTCGGCGGAGATAAGCCGAATAGGCTTTTCGGTGCAATCGCAAGGATAATCTCTGGCGGAGCTGTGTGGTGTGGAGGCTGAACCGTGCATTTCAGGGCGTTCATGCAGGTGTTGCTGCCAAGAATTGCACCTGATTCTGTTGTCTCATACTTCTGGCAATGAAACCAGCAGCAATGAGGTTCTGCGAATGCTCATATGATGCTGATGTCCCAATGCAACACGTTCGAAGCGTGGTCCCTTACTGTCATGTCATCGTATGTCCAACGCGGGTACATGAAGCTCACCTGCGACCTCATTGAGACCCAAGACCTGCTAGCGTTCCAAACGTTCACCAACCTCATCCAGACGTACGGCCCGCAGGAGTACATGTTGCCGAACATCACGGGCACTGGAGTGCCGCTCTCCACCATCTTCGTGGCGCACCACAACCTCGTCACCTATGGCGTCTCGTTCGAATGGACGCGCCCCAGGCCCCCCCCCGGTTCGGGCAAGCTTGCCACGAAGAGGTACTATTCCCCCGAGACGGCAGTCGAGCAGCTCGCGAGCGGGGACCTCTTCCGGGGCGACGCGGAGGTGCAGGCGTGGTACAGGCAGAACCGCGGTTCGCTCGAGCCTGCGTCCGTGGTGGACGTGCCCGGCATGGCGAAGTGGGTTCAGTTCGCGCAGGTGTTCGCATGAAGGGAACGGGTCCTCAGGGTTTCGCCGTTTTCGCACTTCAGGGGCAGTCCCAGGGCCCCGGGACCGTCAGAGAACGTTTCGGGAAGAAGAATTGATCTTGGGAGAAGGCTCCGTGGTCCAGGAACCATTTCCCACAGCATTCGTTTCTTTCATGCGAGAGGTGTGTTTCGCCACTGAAGTCAGCCCCGCGGGCTGCAGTGCCGCTTGGCCAGATGTGTTCAACTTGACCCACCCGTTTTCTGATGACATTTCTGTGGCAGACGGGCTATAGGCTGCAGGCGTTTTGACGGGAGAGAGCGGCAAGGTCGGGGCATTGATGTATATATATAGAGAGAGAGAGAGAGAGAGAGAGAGAGAGAGAGAGCATGCTGAGGAGGCGGTGGTCGAGGAGGGTTCTTTACAGAAAAGTTGTCCGTGGTAGTGTCTGATCTGTGCCAGCAGTGTCGTCCCGCCCTAAGATGGGCGGATTGCTTTTCGTGTGCGAGTCGCAGTTGAAGTCGCTTGGTATCTCCACGGGGGGCGCCAGTCTCGAGAGGGGGGGCCGTGGGGATCCCTGCAGCGCCGCCTACGTGCCGCTTGCCCTTACCAGGTTCCCCAGCGTTCCACTCGTGCTGCGCGGTGCAGCAGGCGGAGGCGGAGTAGGACCGAGGAGGAGCAGAGCAGAAGGGAGAGGAGGGTGGCGGTGGGGAAGGGGGAGCAGTATCGTTTGACCCATCCCCAGGGCCATCGTAACTCAGCCCCACCATCACCCCACCCCAGTTGGGGATAGGCCCCTCGAAACCCGACGGGAACAACCTAAGATGATCCCGGGTCGAGGGTTCACAGGACCCCCCCCCGTAGACGGGATTGGGGATTTGAGGGTTCCTTCGGCACCCCCCATATTGAAGGGGGGGGCGACGACGACGACGACGATGGGAACGATGACTACGACGACGACGACGGGAACGATGACGACGACGACGACGACGACGACGACGACGACGACGACGACGACGACGACGACGACGACGACGACGACGACGACGACGACGACGACGACGACGGCGACGGCGGCGGCGGCGGCGGCGGCGACGGCGACGGCGACGGCGACGGCGACGGCGACGGCGACGGCGACGGCGACGGCGACGGCGACGGCGACGGCGACGGCGACGGCGACGGCGACGGCGACGACGACGACGACGACGACGACGACGACGACGACGACGACGACGACGACGACGACGACGACGACGACGACACCGCATCAACCCACAGGGCGAGGGGCGGGGGCACCAGCAACCCTCTCCACCACGCCACGCCCACAGGCCTACGAACACAGAGGGAGGGGTGGGCATGGGGGAGATCCCATTCGCGAGGCCTTCGCGAGGATCACGGGCGCACCCGACCACCGGGGGGGCGACGGCGACGATGACGGTGACGACGACGACGACGACGACGACGACGGCGACGACGACGGCACCGCACCACCACCCCACACCCACGGGGCGGGGGCACCGGCACCCCCCTCCACCACGCCTCGCCCGCAGACCCGCGATCACAAGGGGGGTCAGGGGGGAGATCCCATTCGCCAGGCTCACGAGCGTGCCCGTCCAGCGGGAGGGGGGGGTGACCCGGCGGGGGGGGAGCTCTGGATCAGATATTCCCACCTGCAGGCTCGGAGATATTTCCCCTGACGCCGCACCACAGCCCCGTCAACACCCGAAAGGCAGATGAAGGGTTCTGCGACCAATCCCGTCCGCATCAGCGGACGCGCGGTACAAACGCACACTCCCACACCCCATGTGATTCTAAACGGGGTTCCGCCTGCGGGGAGGGCCCTAGGGTGATCCCCTCTGTGACTTAGAGTTGTACTGAGGAGTGTGGATGGAGCCTGGTTTGGGCGATGCTGCTCAGGACGTCTACAAAGTCTGTTTGGTGTGGACCCTGGCTTGGCCTGGTCTGGCCGCGCGTCCCGCCCGAGACATCCTCCAAACCTGCATGGTTCGGCCCCCAGTGCGGCCTGGTTTGGGCCAGGTTACGCCCGAGGCGTGCTCGGAAGTTGCGTGGTCTGGCCCTGGTTTGGCATGGTCTGGGCCCGGTTGCGCTCGAGACGTTCTCGCAGCTTGTTCGGTTTGGACTTGGTTTGGCATGGTTCCGGCCCCGTTCCGCTTGAGACGTCCTCACAATTTCCAGGATGATTCGGACTGGCAGATTGCAAAAGAGAACGATCGCAAGACATTATGAGATACGCAACGCTTCTACACTGAATGAACAATGAACACAGTCGCGGTGGGTGTATAAAAGCAAAAGTAGGCGCGTGTGGCAGACTGCACAAGAGAAACCATTGCGAGGCATATTGGCATGTGCCATGCTTTCGAAACGGACTGGGTAATTAACACATGCTACTGCGGGTGTACAATGTCGAGGTAGTGGCATTGTGCGCAATGAAGACCCTTGCGGTCCACATATAGCACGGCCACGCTACAACATAACAGACGGAATGGGTGTGGACATTCCCAACACGTTGTGAATCGGCATGGGCGCGTGTGGCGGCGTTCGGAGAAAACCTCTCCGAGCCTGATCAGGCTCAGAAGTGGTTCTCCTGACGCCACACCAGAGCCTCAACAACACCCGAGAGGCAAATGAAGGATTCTGCGCCCAGCACCCGCCAGCATCAGCGGACGCGCGGTCCAAGCGCCCCGTCCCCCCATGCAATTCTGAACGGGGTTCCGCATGCGGGGAGGGACCTGGGGTTGAGTGGAGAGTGGACGGAGCCTGGTTTACGGGCGAAGCTTGTAAATTTGATTTTCGGGAAGTAGACAGAACTGACAAACAGAATTAACTGACAGAACTGAACTGAATCACCAGAACCGTTAGATGGCAGTTTTAATTCCGTGGATGAGGATATCTCGGTGGCAGTTTAGGCCAGGGTGTTGAGGATATTTCGCTGGCAGTTTTAAGGCCAGGGGGGTGAGGATATTTCGCTGGCAGCTCTAAGTCAGGGCGGTGATGATCTTTCGCTGGCAGTTTTAGGATTTGTCGCTGGCTGTTTTAAGCGAGGGGTGTGAGGATATGTCGCTTGCAGTTTTAAGCGAGGGTGGTGAGGATATTTCGTTGGCAGTTTTGGGCCAGGGTTGTGAGGATATTTCGCTGGCAATTGTAAGTGAGGGCGGTGAGGATAGTTCACTGGCAGGTTTAAGTCAGGGGGTTCAGGATATCTTCCTGACAGTTTTAGGCCAGGGGCACGAGGATATTTCGCGGTCTGTTTTAAGCAAGGGGGTTTGAGATATTTCGCTGGCAGTTTTACTTCAGGGCGGTGAGGATATTTCGCTGGCAGTTTTAAGTGAGGGGTGTGAGAATATTCGCTGGCAGTCTTAAGCGAGAGGTGTGAAGATAGTTCGGAGACTTCGCTGGCAGTTTGATGCGACGTGTGTGAGGATCTTTCGCTGGCAGTTTGAGCGAGGGGGTGAGGATATTTCGCTGGCAGTCTTAAGTGAGAGCGGTGAGGATATTTCACTGGCAGTTTTGAGCGAGGGGTGAGGGGATAGTTCGCTCGCAGTTTTAGGCGAGGGCTGTGAGGATATTTCGCTGCTAGTTTTAGGCCAGGGGCGTGGGGATATCTCGCTGGCAGTTTTAAGCCAGGGGGGTGAGGATGTTTCACTCGCAATTTCAAGCGAGGGGTGGGAGGATATTGCAGTGGCAGCTTTAAGTCAGGGCGGTGAGGATATTTCGCTTGTTTAAGCCAGGGGGCCCTGCCTTGCGCAGCCGCAGGCTACGCATCCTGTGCGGAGCTGCGCCCTTACATATGCTCGCCCCTTGACGTGAAGCTGGCGAGGGGCCAAGGGGCGAGCTGTACGTTGTTTTGGGCGATTCTGCTCTGTACGTCCTCAAAATCTGTTTGGAATGGCCCCTGGTTTGGCCTGGTTTGGCCGCGCGCCCCGCCTGAGACATCCTCAACATCTGCATGGTTTGGCCCCCAGTGTGGCCTGGTTTGGGCCAGGTTAATCGTGAGACGTTCTCAAGATGTCTTTGGTCTCGCACTTGTTTGGCCTGGTTTGGGCTTGGTTTCTTTTGAGACGTCCTCGAAGTTCGCTTGGTTTGGCAGTGGTTTGGCCTGGTCTGGGCCCGGTTTCTTTGCGACGTCCTCGCAGTTTTCCGGTTTGGCCCTGGTTTGGCATGGTGTCGGCCCCGTTCCCCTTGAGCCGTCCATACAATTTTCGGTGATGATTCGGATTGGCATCTTGTACAAGAGAAACAATCTGAAGACACTGGGATGTCCCAATCGTTCTTCGGTACTGAATGAATAATTGACACAGGTCGTGGTAGGCCCTACAGACCGAAGGGATGGCCCGGTGCGCAATGAAGAGCCATTGTGATCACCATATAGTACGGTTGCGCTATAAAATGACAGGCGGGAGTGGCGTGGACATTCCCAACACGCTGTGAATCGGCATGGGCGCGCGTGGCGGCATTCGCAGAAAACCTTCCCTAACCTGATCAGGCTCGTAAGAGTTTCTCCGACCGCCACACCAGAACCCCGACAACGCACGAAAGACAAGTGAAGGCTTATGCGTCCAAGCCCGTCCGCAGCAGCGGACGCGAGGTCCAGACGCCCCCCGCCCCCTGCTAAAGTTCGAAACGGGCTTCGCCTGCGGGAGCGGCCCTGGGAAGACCCACTCCTTGATTCAGAATTTGATTAAGGAGAGTGGACGGAGCCTGGACATCCTCAAAATCTGATTGGTTTGGCCCCTGGTTTGGCCGGGTTTGGCTGCGCGCCCCGCCTGGAACAGCATCAGAACTTGTGTGGCTTGACCCCTGATTTGGCCTGGTTGGTTTGAGCCTAGGGTCGCTTGAGACGTCCTCTAAATTTGATTGGTTTGGCCCCTGGTTAGGCCTGGTTTGGGCCCGGTTTCGCTTGAGACGTTCTCGATGGCCTTGGTTTGGCCTGGTTTGGGCGCCGTTCCGTTTGAGACGTACTCACACTTCGCCTGGTTTGGCCCTGGTTTGGCATGGTTTCGGCCCGGTTCCGCTTGAGACGTCCTCACACATCGAGGTGGTGATCCGGATTGGCATATTGCACAAGAGACCACCGCAAGGCACATTGGCATTGGCATGTGCCATTGCTTCCAAACGGAATGGGTAATTGAAAACATCACAGGTCATTGCGCGCACTGAAGGCCCATTGTTGTCTTCAAATAGCACGAGTGCACTACAACATGACGGGCGGAAGTGTTGTGGACATTCCCAACACGTTGTGAATCGGCATGGGCGCGCGTGGCGGCATTCGCAGAA